GTCATTGGTTGGGACCCGGAAAGAAATGAGTATACACCAGAAATCAAAGGAAATAATAATAATAATAATAATAATAATAATAATAATATTTGAAGATCTTCAAAAAACTATCAAAATACAATAATCTTGATATGGAAATCTCAAAAATGTGACACATGAGGATATCAATAGTTCCAGTCGTAGTTGGAGCACTCGGATTGTTTGGAAAAGTGTTCAATAGACTCACTTAAAGGATTTCTGGTAGCCCATATCTTAAAGAAACACAACAAATTGTACGCACAATGAAGGAAATGTGTATACAACAGAAATTAAAGGAAGAAATAATAATAATAATAATAATAATAATGAGAAGAAGAAGAAGAAGAAGAAGAAGAAGAAGACGCGGACGAAGAAACCGGCTCCTTAAAATTCATATGACAAAGTCCAATAAGCAGAATGTGTAAATATACAACGCTGCACTGGAAAAGATTTTAACGCACAAGCCACCTGGAAACATCACAGAAGTTAACAATATCTTATACGCAACAGCTTTAGCGGCTACTGAGAATCTTGGAGTCAAGACAATAAAAAAAAAATCGAAGAACAGTCAAAGACATCCATCGTGGAAGGCAAAACTGATACGAGAAATAAAAGAAAATCAGATGTGAGATTTCGATATTGGAAGAGCTCACTAGAAACTCAAATATCTCAACACGCAAATGCAGGAAGATCAAACGGAAATATTAAATTAAATCAGTAAATGAAATTCCATATGTCAAGGAAATGATGAAACAGAAACTACATTTAAAGACACAGAGAACAAGACGATACGAAAAATGTTATAGGTTCTATCGCCAAAATAAAATATTCCAAATGGACCTTAAGAAACTTTACAGGGAAACTGGAGAAGCAGTTATACATGTCAAAAAGTCACCATCTATTAACAAAGTGCAGAAATTTTGGGAGAATATTTGGAACAACCCAAAAGAATATAACCCTAAAAACAGAATGGATCCAACGTGAAGAAGAACGAATGGTGGATAAACCTCTACAAGAGTTGGAAAATATAGCTACGAATAATGTCAGGCAAACCCTAACGAAATGACATCGTGCCAAATTTCTGGCTATATAATCTTTCATCAATCCACAAACCCCTTGCACATACGCTATCAATGCTTATTAATAATCCCAATGAAATCTTGGAATCGAACACCGAAGGTATTACATATCTCATGCCCAAATCAAGTGAAACAGACGACCCAAAACATATATATATATATATATATATATATATATATATATATAATTATTTTTATAAACAAAAAATTATAACATAAGTATGTTATAAAATCACTACAAAAATAGCCATTTTGTTTCAACACACTCTGTGTCTTATCAAGTGATGATGTTGAAAATAAAATAAATGGTTTTAAAAGTTTCAGATTAATTAACGATCTTACACTAGGTGGAAACATTGTTACAAAAGCTAGAATAACCAATCAAAAACCAAGTATAGAAAGATTCAAAAGCTTGACAACAAAATCATGTTATAATAGCTATTCAGATCTTCAAAATACGTGTAATATTAAAAATAATTTATACTAACCAATAATTATAAAATTATATGATAAAATTTAATATTAAAATTAAAAACTGGCAATTTTAAAAACCAAATTTAATCACTATTAAGTTTAAAAAGTTTGAATTCAAAAAACAGAATATCAGCCATAAACAACTTGGCTATCCCTGTGGTGCAATTCAGCTTTATACCATAGCTGACATTAAGCTAATGGGCGTCAAAACGAGAAAGCTTCTCACTTGCTACCGCATGCATCATCCCAAAGCTGATGTTTACCGTCTGTATGTGCCCAGAGGATTATTTCAACTAGAACTGTCTTACAAAACTACAACAATTGGCCTTCAAAGATACCTAAATAGTACTGAAGACATTCAGTAATAAAGGAAGACAACAAATTCAAAATGGTGTTTCAAGTGGGTGAAGAAATAGAATTAAAGCATAATACACCAAACGAAGCTGCAAAATACTTTTAAAAAAAAAGAAAGCAAAGGCAAATTCAACCGAACAGACAAAGAAAAGATGGCAAGATAAACCGCTTCACGGTCATTACTCTGCCTGTATCAGACATGCTGATCTAGAAAAACCCAGTACCCATCAGTGGCTGCGTAATGCAGGGTTAATAGCTGAAATCGAAGGTTTTATCTTGCTGCACAGGACCAATGCTTGCTAACTAGAAAATACAGAGCACACATACTGAAAAATTGTGTTAGTCCAAAATGCAAACACTGTATTGATATCCGGAAACAACGGACCATCTTGTATTAGGTTGCACGGAATTGGCACCCACTGAATATAAAACATGGCACGACAGAGTGGGCCAATATCTGCACTGGAAAATCTGCAACACTTACGGAAAGGAAACTGCAAGAAATTAGTATGAACACCATCGAGTCTCGTTTACGGAGATAGGATCTGTAACGGTTTTATGGAACTTTACAATACCTAGAGACAGAACAATCAAAGCCAATCGCCCAGAAATTGTGATCAAAGACCACAAAAACAATATGTGCCTTTTTATTGACATGGCAGTCCCTGCAGATTGTAATGTATCTTTAAAGATTTTCAAAAAACTATCAAAATACAAGGACCTTGAAATCGAACTGCCAAAAATTAACAACATCAGTTGTAGTTGGAGCCCTCGAATTGATTGGAAAATATTTCAATAAACTCAGTCAAGCCCTGGCCTTAAAAAAATACAAAAGATTGTACTGATAAGTACAGCACGCGCCTTACGAAGGGCTTTATCTATGCTAAAAAGATGCATTTTCGGAACTTAGGTTTCTGGTCGGGACCCGGAAAGAAATGAGTATACATCATACACCATTGGAAATAATAATAATAATAATAATAATAATAATAATAATAATAATAATAATGTTGAGGTCTAATCCAACTTAAATTAACTTTAAAAACTACAACAATCGAATTGGAATCTTAACTCACAAAAACCAATGACCCTCTCCTACAAATAGTAAAACACTAAATCCACTCCATCAGCTAGGTAGGTGCGCTATTTAAGAAACAGTTTAATATACCTGAAATCTTACCAACAAAAAAACGAAGCGAATACCATCTACGCCAAACGAGTAAAACAGAAAGCAAAACAACTTGGCCAAATGAAATTACAACAAACTTGGGAGGACAAGGCGTTGCATGGCAAATACATAAAAAAAAAACGAAAGAAGCAGATGTGGACCAACAGAAGAATTATCAGTAGTTGAGAAGAACGGGACTGAAAGCTGAGATAGAAGGCCTAATTATTGCAGCTCAGAACTAAAGCCTCGCAACCAGATCCTATCACTGTTACATAATCAAGGATGGAACTAACCCGAAAAGCGGAAAATAGGATGGAACTGTCGACTGATTTATCTCAGGATGTCTGGCGCTGACAAAAAATGAATATACCCAGAGACATAACAATATTGCCACATATGTGCATTGGAAGCACAAAATCGAAACCACTGAGAAATGGTATGACCACCAACCAGACACAGTTAACAATGTAATTATCCTCTGGGACATGCCAATTCAAACTGTCAGGGAAATAAAAGCCGACAGACCTGATATTATCATAAAAGGTAAGAAATTCAGGAAGTGTATGATTATTGACATAGCAGTGCCATTTGAAAGAAAATCATCCATAAAAATTATCCAGAAATTGTCCAAATACAAGGACGAGATTAACAAGATGTGAGAAATGAACACAGAGACTATACAAATAGTAATCAAAGGTCTGGCCTCGTGAGGAAAGAATGGACAATTTTACTAAGGGTGTCCCAGGTAACCTCAACATACAAGTTGCCAGAAGTTCGCCTTACTAGGAACATCCCGTATACTAAGAAAACTGCTATCAATTAAATGATAATTTTCTTACAGGGCCCAAGGACCATAGTTTGGACCCGGCTCTAGTGGATACAAAGCAAGAAATATAACACACAAGGAATAATAATAATAATAATAATAATAATAATAATAATAATGGACAGCTCGGGAAATTGGAGCTTCTTTTGGGTACTGTGCATATTGTGATGAAAGAGTAACGAGGTCCTTGGCGTGACCTGACAGATGACATAATGTACTCAGTGTATAAAAGAACTCACGCTGTGTGACACAACATAATAATGTCCCGGTGTGAATTTATTGGCACGTTGATCTCTCACTCAAAGATTATAAGGCGTTCGAATAACAAGAAAAAGAAGAAGACAAAAATAATAACTTTAATTATTATCTTCCATTCCTATACACACGAATAACCTCCTGAAGTAACCCTATACCTCAAATGGCCCCCGGATCTTATAAACTCTGAAACTTATTGTAATATATATATATATATATATATATATATATATATATATATATATATATTTATAATCATTTCACCCTCAAGCATAGCCGCTAAGAATAAGGTGTTTCCTGGGTTTGAAAGAATTATATATATATAGAACTAAAAACCCGTAAAAGCATAATCTGTTTATATAATAGAAAATTCATTGAGGTTCTTAAATACAGTTCGATTAATGGATTTGGAACACAGCGTTCTCACTTATTGTGTATTCGACATACCGGGTAAAATTGCAATTCATTATCTGAGTACTAGTTATGTAAATTTCATCTTGATTCAGTCACGTGTTGTTTGCACAAAGACGTTAGGAAATTTTTAAAAAAACTGACTTTTTATTTTGCTTACTGGCTGTGAGAGGAAAAAGGTTTTGGTTTGGTTATTTTTTATGGATTTTTCGAATGGCAATCTCTGAGAACGGTCTGGCCTCTCTGTTTTTATAGTAACTTTACATGTGAAAACTTTCACATGCCTATGCAAATATGGACAGTGAGAGACGAATCAAAACGTCAGAGAAAAAGTCGGCATAAGAAAGATGAATCAACTTCTTTCTTTCTTTCTTTTTTTCTTACTTTCTTTCTATCTATCTCTCTATCTATCTGCTTACGGCCACATCATGTTAAAACACCGGTTTCCGTACGATTACTGTAGTTAAGCAACAACGAGTCTGGTCAGTAAATAGATGGGTTACCGCAAGGGAATACCAGGCACTGTAAGATGTGCAGGTTGTATAATGAATAATGGCTCGGAATTGTTAATCAGAGAGCCGAGTTCCAATTTCAGTTGGAATTAGTATTTTCACATACGTAAATATCCTTGGAAAGGGTATGAATCCACCTCTTCTCCCCTAGCTATGGGTTAATTAGTAAGTCTGGCATCCCTAAAGCATTATTAACATCCCCCAAAAAAGTCATAAAAAAAGATTCTGGCTTTAAATAAACTACATGGGGTTGATACGTCGTAGAAAACGAATCTATCTATCTATCTATGTCAGTCTGTCTACCTTTTTCAGTTGAAATGACTATATATAACCGTAAGATCTATGCTAACAGTATCTTTGCTCGTACTTGTCGTTTCTGGAATTCTTTTCCAGCCTCTTGCTTTCCAGTCAAGTTTGATAATCAAAAATTTAAAAGAAATATCAACGGTTATCATCGTTTTTATTAATTCCTGTTCTTTTATTGTTCTCTCTCCTTGATAATTTTTTTTTTTATCTTCTTTCAAACCCAGGAACCCCCTGAGTCTTAGTGAAGTGACTTTGTAGCCTTGCTTGGGTGAAATGATTATATATATATATATATATATATATATATATATATATATATATATATATATAATCAGTAATTCAAAAGGCCCGGGGTCCACTTGAAGTAGAGGGTTACGTTAGTAGGCCATTTTTGTATATAGAAGTAGAAGATAATATTTAACCGTAGCATTGAACAGGTTAATACTGTAGTGATCGAGGAAAAAATTCTCTCGGGCTTCGTTTCCACAGGGCAGTGGTTCGTGAGTAGAAGCTGCTCCAGTGGAACTTACTTCTCACCGATGGAATACGGAAGGAATGTGTCTTGTTTGCTACAATGTAAGTGACATAGCGTGAATGTTTGACTCGTCGGCGCCAGGCAATGGAGTTCATTCGATTACTTTCCGTGGAAGTAGCAGTAGACCAGCGAGACTTGCCACATCCCGCCTTTGGGAGAGAGTTTGAAGGGTGAAGAATAATTCGTCACCTACAAGGGCTCGGAGACGCTTTTGAACTCTATCAAGGCTGGAGAGTTAGGTCTGGGCACCTTCCTCCAAATATACCAATATTACCCCCGTTTTAGGCTGACCTGTCTCCTGTAAAGGTAGAGGATATCAGGAGAAGTCTTTTACTTGAGCGGTACAGAAAGCCGACCATTTTACCTATATCCTTAGCAATGTCTCGTATGTACGAGTTCCACCTTTCAAGGCACGGTGCTTCCCTGAAAAGACCTCTGTTCATCCTGATTTGTGGTAGTTCGGGGTCAGTTCGGAAATGATGGAATGTAACTAGCTTCGTCTTCGAGGCCTTGAATGTAACCAGCCAGTTTTTACCCCATTGGGCAGTTTGTGCAAGATCGAAGGAGAGATCACTTGCCAATCGATAGTTTTAGAGGTACGCCCCTATATAGTCGTATCATCGGCAGAGATGTTTCCAAATGATCTGAGTATATTCTTAGGCTGATCATTTAAGTAGACCAAACAGAAAGTTGGTTCGAAGAGTGAACCCTAGTGGATGCCTGCGTTGACTGCTAGGGCTCCGGAAGACTGGCCATTAATAACCTCCTCCAGCGACCTACCTGTAAGGAAGGATTTTACGATCAAGACCCTTCCAGTGATTCCATAATTAGAGAGCTTGTGCAGTAAGTCTTTGCGCCACACCTTATCGAAAGCCTTTGAGATATCTAGTGCTATGGTCTTCGATGTGTGTTTCTTGTCAAGAGCCATGATTCTGTGAGTGATGGTAGTTAGGACATCAGCAGTGGATTGGGCCGACCGAAACCCATACTGCTCGTCGCTGAAGAGTTTGTTCTTTTCTAGGTGCTTGAAGCCCTTCTTATTGATTATGGTCTCAAAAAACTTAGTGATGATACTGAGGAGACTGACGGGTCTGTACTGGGAGGGGGAAGATCGCACGCCCGCGTTCTTGAAAACCGGGCATGTCCTAGACACTTTCCATACTCTTGTGTAGGATTTCTACTTCAAACAGCGGCTGAATAACGTTGATAGGATTAGGGATAATTCCGGGTTGATATTCCTAATGACAACCACTGGAATTTTGTCTGGAGCAGTTGTTTTCTTAGAGTCAAGACCTTTGGTATGTCCAGAGACTTCTCGTGCTCTGATGGTAATATTACTGTGATTGTGCTCAGTGAGACATGGGAAGTTAGGGAGAGGAAGGTCTTTGTTAGCTAACGTCGAGTTAGAGGTAAAGATGGTGGTGAAGAGGTTAGCCTTATCTGTCGAGGAAGATATGACATCAGGGAGATTTATAATTGTGGTCACAACTGATTTATCATTTGGTTGATCTTCCAGAATTCACAGGATCCAATTTGATTCTTTTCAACTTTGGTCTGAACTGCTCGTGCGTAGCTCCTCCTGGCGTTTTCTAGAACATTTTTTGCAGCTGTTGGGGTCAGATTTGAATGCAGTGATGGCCGGACTACATCAGCCCTTGCGATAGATATTGAAATAAAGGTTTCGGTCAGCTATGGCTGAAGCTCATTCAGGGGTGTTGACAGTTTGATTTTTACTGAAAGTTTTGGTGGTATAAAACTCTCCATTCCAGAAAGGATCCAATCAGTGACAAGGGCAGTAGTTTTGGAAGCAGCATGCTTGAAGAAGGTTAGGATGGTTGCTCCCATCATGTAGGATCAAAAGCTGTAACAGTCTGCCTTCGCATAGCGAAAACTAGTTCTATGGAACGGCACACCAGGGGATGCCTTAGGTTTGGCATCAATCTGGACACTGATTAGGGAATGGTCTGGCGTGCTTAGGAGAGGTAAAACTTTTGATAAGTGTTTATCAGAGCAGGGGGTGAGGTCGATGAGGTTCGCCTGATGTTCCGTCGTGTTAGGGACACGGATAGGTTTTCCGATAATCTGGGTTAGTTCATAGGCGATGAACGAGTCTCTGCAATATCTGCCTTCAAAATCGGTTTTGTCAGGGTGGACAAGCCATTCTTTATGGTGGGTATTGAAGTCATCACAAATATGAAAGCTGGCAGAAGGCAATTGAATGAGGATATTATCAATCTTTTCAGATATTCGGTCGAATATTACCGTCTCTTCGTCCTGAGGGCGATAGAGAGCAAAGGTGAATGTGGTACTATGGATAAGTACCACACGAAAGCACATATATGAAAGATCGGTTTTTTCGTTTTTTGCGTCTCTGTTACAGGGAAACTTGCCCTTGATGTATGTCCCGAGTCCGTAGCCGTAACGATTTAGGTGGTCATATTTGGCTATAAGAAGTGAGTAGATTGGGATTGTGGGCTCCCTTGGTGTACTTGAAGCGTTGATACCTGTTTCAGGAAGTAACAGAAGGTCTAGTTTACACTGAAGATGGTGTTTCACTAATGTAAAGTTGGAACGTAGGCCCCGCGTGTTTGTGTAGGAGATGGTATATGATGGGTCTATTTTGTATATTTTTAGGTTGGGTTTGCTAGTTTTGTTCATCTGTATTTTGATTGGCTTCGTGTGTGCATTATTTGGTGGACGACTAGTCGGCAGAGTGACAGACACACCTGCAGGAGTTACATGTATAAATAACTTGGAGAGAATCGTTCAGAGATACAGTCGTAGCAAAACCTTCATCATGGCATCGAGAGGCCACACCGGAGACTACTGCTCGTTTTAGAACCATTCATAAAATGGCAGTACAATAGCCCTGATATTGTACGCCTGCCAATAGAACTTCCGTCGCAGTTACTCGAAGGTTCAGATCCATTACTATCAAGCGGATAATACCAAAACCCAGAAAACCTCTCCCTCTAGCGCCCTTAATGAAGGGACAATCAACCCAGGAAATAAAATACATACGGGTTGCTCCAAGTCAGTACGTCGCATTTGCCCTGAAGTCAAAGCAACAAAACTCCTCCTTGGGTCAGAAACATCGTACTGGTTCGAAACATAAAAGCACCGAAACAAGCTCGTTTATGTACTTCAGGACTAAAAAACTCAAGATAGGCGGGTAACGAGGGTTGATCGGGCCTGCATTGCATCCTCTACCCCATTTAAATTAGTATAGTTGATGGTTACAAGGCTTGCAATAGTAAAGTTATCTATTCAAGAGAAAAAATTCAGGCTTACAAAGAGAAACAGTATAAATAGGTGGGGAGGATTATGGATAGGGACTGTGAAACATATATAAAGCTTTAATTTACTTAATTTAGTATATAAATAGTTTTAGTATATATATGTTTAGTAATATAAAGCTTTAATTTAGTATAAGTCCAAATATCCACTTTATTGGAAAGTGGATAGACATCAAAGTCCAGCAAAGCACACTAGAAAAACTTCCATCAAATGCACAGGCTTCGAGGGTTAAAATAAATTTATGCGCAAGTACATTATGCAGACGTTAGCATGCGCATATATATATATATATATATATATATATATATATATATATATATATATATATTATATATATTGTGGTTAATATCAACAGAAAGTTTAAAACAAAGAGAGAGAAAAATCTTAGGAAGTATGTTTTAATGCAGTTTATAAAGTGAAAGGAGAAAAAAAAAACGAAAATTCAGAAAAGTGATTAAAATTACCAACATGTGAAGTTTCTGGTGGGGTGATTGAGCAAATATTAATGCAAATATGTCAGGGAGAGGCAGTCTAGTTAGGCAATGTAGGCAGTGGTTACCCTGAATAAAATAGATCAGCAGCTACATTTTCCTCAAGTGGCACAATATGCAAATAATCCAACAAAATTATGAAGGCTACTCTGATTATTATGCATAAAATGAGAAAAAAAAATTGTAGATTTACTACATAAAGGTCACAAGCTGCCTACGGTGAATAGGTGAGTAATTACCGGCGGCACGTACCATATATATATATATATATATATATATATATATATATATATATATATATATATATATATATATATATATAGTGATAATAAGAAGACAGAGATTTTAATTATTTATTTCGTTTATAATTTTTATTTCATGGACACC